GGTTTTCTTCTGAATATATCTGAAAGAGCATACTGTAAGAACCTCAAATGTGAAGTCTTTCTTGTTATGGCCCAATTCATGGGGAAGATATAGCTAGTTGAATTTCGAAAATTCGCCATTTTGTTATTAAAAATAGAACAAAATGGCAGATTTCTTGTATTTTGAATTGATAACTTCGTAATGAATAGCCATAATTTAAAACAGACTTCAGATTTGAGGTTCTTACAGTATACTCTTTCAGTTTCATACCGAAAATCAGCTGTATCTATTATATAAATTTTTGGCCTCAATTTTGTCACATTATTTTCCCGCCAAAAATGTAACAATTTCAAAAACAAAAAACATCAGATTGTTAGAAATGATGTTCTATTAGATGCAAAATATCGTAGAAGAGGAATCAAAATTGAAGAATTTCTTGTACAGCAAAAACGAACTGGAAGTTTCTGAAAAAAAAAAATGCCAAGCGTGCAGTTAGGAAATATTGTTTCAATGTATTGAACGGAACTATTTTTGTCTTCATAGCATTCGCCTAATCAAAGATATGAACCTGCAAAGTCATATTGCACCAGTACAATATGTTATTAAATAGGAACCAGTCGAGAGAATTAAATGTGCTTAGTCGCAAAAGAAGACTTTTCTATGTCAAGACGCCACATGATTCATGGAGCAGAAACTTGAACGTTGATACCAAGAACATTTTTCAGTGAGTGTTTTTTGTTACTTTATGTTTTGGGAGAGTGGCATGCCCCTGGACCCCCCCCCCCAGTCATGCAAGACTGAAGAATATGCTTCAGGCAGATTTAACTTAAAAACATTTTTCTGATCCAAGTAAAGTCCTCGGGTTACGTCTTCAGAAACTTTTCGGCTCATCTTCGTCAAAAATAATTCAATGCTTTAAAAACGTGGCTAATATTACATTTAGAGCTGTAAATTACAAAAGAAGTTGCCCTCGTTCATCTTAATAGTAAACTCAAATTTTCATTATTTTTTGTACACAGAAATCAAATGAATTGCGTGAAAATATGTTAATGGTGAATATTTTCCCAAAACTATTTTATTATCCATGATCGGAAAAATCTGACCGTATCTTGAGCTACAGTTGATACCCCTTGCCTGGCCCCTTCACTAGAACTGACTGAGAACTGACTGAGAACTGACTGAGACTCATTGCTTAAACCCTCCATTAATTAAAAGTATATTGATGTGGAAACAAGAGATTTTACTTACGTTAGGTTACTTGCGAAGTTTGGAAGAAAGGACAGTTCTTTTTAGGTAAGGAGGAATTGCTCATCGAAGTTTGTAAAATCCATAAAATCCCTCATAGAACGACGCCATATTGTCTGTCTTTCTCCAAGCGGTTAGCACTATTTTCCATCCAGCAAACCACGGTTAGCAAACTGACCTGACGCAGTGAACTAAAAATACCTGGAACGCTACCTCCAATAGGTTTGGCTTATGATCGGATGAAGCCAAATTTTACCGCCAGCCGCGCGTGTTCTACCTCCAGACACGCGCGTTTGTGTTGCGAGACATTCTCGCGAGACCATTTCGGCAGTGACTTGAATGTTTTTTCTTGGGCGAATGGGTCGAAAATTGTCGTTTATTTAGGGTTTTAAGCTATATTTTTGTATTAGAAGTGCATTTAAAACATATCTTGAACCCTACCGACTAAAATTGCAAGGACGAAAGTAACCGATTGGAGACAACAAGTGCATATTTGAATGACTGGAACGTTTATATGCAGATGACACTTGAGAAAGATAAGTAATTCTTTATCTTATAAACGTATTAAATATGTATTTATAACAACTTCATTGATTGTTAAACAAGACAAGTTTATTTAGTCTGTATCTATCACTTTGTTTGTCTTCGTTGACCACTTTTTCTTTGTATTTCTTGCCGAATGTGAATAATCGCAACATGAAATACTTATTCGCGAAAAAAAACTTTAATGTTTATATTTGTTATTTTGTACTTTTAAAACTTAATAAATACTCTACTACAAAACATAATTAAACTGTGGATGGTAGTTTGATCTTGTTAGAATACCTTTTTCCTAACTTTCAGACGAATAAATTGGAAAACGAACGAGCAAAATAGGGAATTTCACACAAATATTTCACACTTTATATGATTAGACCACGGCAAGCTCCACTCCTCGCTCGACGTTTTTTCTCAAAAAAGAAAATTTAATTACGATTTCTACACAAACAAATTAAAAATATTTTACTCTAGAGTTTTGAAGGATTTTTTTATTGTAAAAATGTACTGTCAGGTGCATTTTAAGTCGTTTTAAACGATGTTTTAGTGCATTTTTTTTACCCAGTTGTGAAAATTTAAAAAACCCGCGTTTTTCCGTTACGTGAAAAGACTGGGCATGACAACAGTGGGCATGCCTGGGCATGGCTTCACATTTCCGGTTGGAGGTATCGTTCCAGTTATTTTTAGTTCAATGACCTGACGTCATTTTCGCAAGATAGAAGAGGTGTTGTAAGTAACCCAAACCCTACCCCTACTCTAACCCCTAACCCTAACCTCAACTCTAACTCTAACCCTAACCGAATTAATAAAAAAATCCAAAAAGAAACGACTTTACAAAATCGATAGGGCGGTTTGCTGGATGGAAAAAAGTGCTGTAGAGGTGTAAGTATGCGCGTGAGGCCAACCAAGGCCAGCGGTTTCACAAAAAAGACGTCACTTGTCAAACCGTATAGGCATTAGGCACATATGATTAGGCGCGTTACCAGATACTGTATTACAGGTACTATACAATAAAACATTTTCAGGTCATATCTTTATAAAAAACATTAATACTTTGCCTTTGTGACAGTGTTTTATAAGCATTCAATACCTCTCTTTCACGAATTTGTCTTAAACTAGACAAATTAACGTGGAGGGAGTTTCTTCTTCGTGTATTCAAACAGTGTTGGAATTGCTGTTGCCTGTTGGTTTTAACATGTTCGGCTTTTTTCTACCATGGTTCCCAAATGTGACAAACAGTTGGAGAAAGACTAAAGACTCAGACATAACTTATCACAAAGTGCCAAGTGGTCACCTAAAAGCATTTGGTTGTGAAATATCAGGAGGGACAACCTGCGCAAGTTCAACAACTCATTTGTATGTAGTGTTCACTTTGACACCTGATTGCTTTTTCCCGCTACAAAAATATTTGCCATGTACAGTGTGGCATTTATGCTAATTTCACAGTCGATTAAACACCGATTAAGTTTAACAGTAAACACTACTATAATGAACGATTTTGAAGCTTCGCGCGAAGGATGACCGAATTCACATCAGACACGGGAATTTCGTTGATGAAAACCGGTCTGAAATAAAATTGGAGACGGAAATCTATATATGCCTTATATATGCCTTATTTGGACCCTTCTAGTTCCCGTTTTCCCTTGCTGGGCAACGCTTTATCCATCTCATTTATCCGTCTGAATGCGAATTTAAGCAGAGTTTCTCGTCTAGACGAAATTCCTGTCTAAGCTTTCCTGTCTGTTTGGATGGGAAAGTTAGACGGAAAAGGTGAGACGGGAATCACTTGCGGACTCGTATACCCCGCAGTCGCTTATATGTCCCTCGTTGAATGAATGATGGTCAACTCGGGCGCATTCCCATGGGCCTTTGCGCCATTTCGTTTTTCGAAGGAAATTTTCGAGGGAAATTTTAGGGACTGTGGAAGAGTCAGGGAATCTTGTCTGCTGCTGGATTTATATTGGACGGATTATCTGTCTCTAATGCATGTGAAACGGGCACACCGCACCCAATCTAAGAGAATCTTTCCTGCAATTGAATAATGAAACGGATAACACCGGCAATCTTAGAAATAGAGAAAACGGCTTGGCACTTCCTAAGCCGAAGAAAGATTTCGACAAGATGTGCTTCGACTATAATGGTGCTGCACTTTGGAATAACCTATCTTATGAGGCAAAAATTACGCCATCCCTAAGTGCCTTTAAAACGATTATTAAACAAAGAATGCTTTGAAACTGGCTCATCAATTATCTTCTTGTTATGTATAACATACTGCTTGTATGTAGCTAAAGGTTGTCCTTTGCAAACCTTAAACTCTAAATTTTAAACTCTAAGCGTGCAAAGCATAATGGGAGCATCATTTAATCAGTTTAGAAATCATATATGAGACCCATTTCTTAGAGACATGGTAAATATCTCCTTACGAGAACAATTCATTCACAAATAGCTGCAATATTTAAGGTTTAAGGTTTAGAGTTTGCAAAGGACAACCTTTTTTGAATTGGCTGTATATTGTTTATTATATTGTTATATTGTCTGATCACGCCCCTCGTGGAAACAAGCTTTTAGTAGTTGTTTAAATAAAGTTTGTTTGTGTATGGATGAATGTATGTAGCTAAAGGAAAAAAGTCTTAATATGCCAATTTAATATTAGGCATTTCAACCATCCGGTTAAATAAATATAATATAAATGGTTTCAACTGTGAAATTTGTAAATCTTTTTACAAGCTTGATCGGTGTATTTGACAAAGAATGCTGTACCTTCAATGAAGTGCTGAATTTTATTATTTGAGACTCGATAAACATCAACATGCAATATTGCATCAGAACCTATTAAATATTTTCTCGGTTATTATACATTATTGAACAACCTATTATATAGTTTCTTGTAGAAATAAAGAATGGACAAATCCTGATCTAGTGCATATTAGATAGATAGATATAGGTTTATCAAAATTACATTTCAGCCACAACTTACATGGCTTAATCACGTAATTTACACATTAAATTAATGTAAAAGATATATATCAATAAGATAAAAAAGTAATTCTTTTATATTAGTAATTCTTGTATATATTAGTATAATTCATGTTTATAATACTATATTCTATAACGTATAGGCAATTGCAAGTTACCGGCTGAAGAAGTGAGATTTACAATTGCGTATATATCCAAGAAAAAGTTTTATTTTAATAAAGTTTTCATTATTATTATTATTAGGTTCTTTCTTAGCTCTAAGGCTAAGCCATGTTGTTGCAGCAATTGCTTTCTTTATCCAACGTTTTAAGTTCATCTCCCGACGCAGAGCATTGATCATTTACTGAATACATTTTCCCAATGGCAGTGCTGCCAGTGGATGGGTCTTCTCGAAGTGAATAATTGCTCTTTTTGCTACAAAGTTTTCGCAGCTGTTGTCTTGTTCCAGCGGGCAAAATGCAAAATAATATGAATACCAAAAATCCCTGAAGTGAGTTAAAAATGCAGAACAACCACTGAAATGCTAGTTTAGCATCGTCAATTGCAAGAAAACCAAACAGCCAGGTTAACCCGAGCAGTACCATGATCGCAATCCCTTGCCGAGCTTGCTGCAAGCCCGACACTTTGCGGCTTGAGGTCACTGTGTTACCGGAAGTAAGTAATGACCGAATAACAAGGCAGAAAACCACGATATTTCCAGCGAGGATTAAAATAACTGGAGTGACAAATGCCACAAAAAATGGCACGCCATGCAGTCGACAACTGAAAGAAATAGACATTTTAATCAGGTTTCAAGCTTTTTGAAGATGGAAAGGTTTTTGTAAATGTATAATATACATTGCACACAAAACAACGGCCAAAAATAAACATCATTTCGACTATATTTTACTAATTTTAGTCATTATCAGGAATAATTTGAATTCCTGATGACGATGTCGGCAGTCGAAAGCTGGAATATAAAAAAATGTTCAGTTTCGGAGTTGCCGCGTTCTTTTGGCCCACAGTTGCAGCTTTCGTAACTTCTCCCGTTTAGGTGTTTCGTAAAAATACTTGGTACGTATACCTCCGCCTCCGGGCACGAATCGAACCCTGCGAACAAGATCGCTGTCCAACAGCACGCAAGTACTCAAATTACTTTGCCAAATTTTCTTTGTTGACGCATCCATACAGACGAACAAAATTTGTACTTTCCCAATACACCTTTTTGATAATTACGTCATGAATATGTTCAGTGGCCTGGGACCCTCGTTCTCGTGAATCAAGACCCGAATGTGATTGGCTCACGATTCATGAAAATGAAGCTCCCAGGCCAAGAACATATTCATGTAATTATATCGAAAAGGTGTATTAGTTTATTCTATGCACTTATTGAAGCTAGCATACTAGCTTTTCAACAAGTATATATACTCTTGTCATAGTAAAACTTGGCAAAGTTGCCTTTACAGACGAGCAAATAAAACTTGTCACATGAAAACTTGTCATAGAAAACGTCCTCGTTCGTAACTGGCTGTATAGAGACTTCATTATACAGAACTAAAGACTAAACCAAAACTCTACTTACTTTCTCTCGTCGCCATATTTGTCCAGAGCCACTATCATTGTTATGGCTACGATTATCGCAGGTGTCCCTAAAACATACGTATAAATAAAAAAGGCATGAGAAATCGTTCCTTTATGGATCTTATAGGCTATAGTAAAGAACTTTAAGCAACTTTTTGAAGATACTTGTTCCAACTATATATATCCGAAGATTACTGTCAGAACGAATAATTTCGTTCAGTAATCGTGAAAATAGAGACGATTTTTAAATCCAAAATAATCAACTTTCTTCAATAATAATACAGTTTTTGAAAAAGTGGGTAACACCAGTGTCATGTTCAGGAATTTCGTATTGTTACGTTTCTGTAACAGATATTGAAATCTACATTTATCTTAGTGTTTTTTTCTTTTAATTTTTGTTAGTTTTAGTAAATAATAATCAATTGTTATTTCAACAAAACACGCGCAAAGATCTATTAAAATGCCTATTACTGCTTCGTTCAGTTAGAAAACATGTATGTATCCGAAATTTCGCGTCTTACCCCAAGCAAATAGACAGCATTTCAGCATAAACGCGAAAGGAAATGAATCGATTTTACGAGCTTTGATTATTGCCAGATACAAACTGAACGCTTCTACTGCCATCCACAAAAACGCTACTAACAAGAAGTAATGCAAGGCGACTGCCGCTGTCCCACAGCGGGCTAATGATGACGACTCTGATCCCTCAGGCGTGGCCAAAAACACGATTAACGTTAATGACAAAGCAGTGCAGTAGTTCAACAAAATCTTCATTGGAAGTTTCCTGCGGAGTTCTCTAAAATGTAAAAGTAAATAAATTCTGTCACTCATAATAACCCTGGACCCCCTAGGGAGCTTGTGCCTTCGGCGCTCGAGTCATTAGGAAGCCAGTTCATTTCTATCCCACCATCCCGTAAAGAATTATAAAGAAACACTCGGCTGCTCACCCAGAACCCCCTAGAAAAACCTTGCTGGATCCAAATGAGAATGCGAGGTTGTTTACCTTGCACTGTAAAATGAAATTCACATGATGCTTCCCCGGAATCGAATTCGAACAGGATTTGTTCACGTGCTTTATATAAAAATTATGACACTTCTTTGTCTCTTTCCATTTTGGGCAAGGAAGAGCTCTATATATAGTAAACATTCTTCATTTACCTTAATATTAGTATCGTTATTATTGTCAAGGTCAGTCCGACCAATGAGAGCGCACATCCAACATAACTAATTACACCAAGTATTCTCTCATGTTTTGTGATTACCGCTGGTTTGATATCCTAAACAATAAATATATGTGATCTTGAACGTAAGTTGCGTGCGGGGAAATAGGGTACTTCGACAGGTAGGCTGGTCATATTCGGGAAATTTTCTCCCAGTACAACGGGCTCATTTTTCCGGGGGCAGTCGGATAAAAATTGAACGTTTTGGGTATCATGTCCATGATCCGACCACAGTACTCAGATGTAAGTTTGGGCGATATTTAAAAAAAGTCATATCATGATTATTGTCTAGGAATTTGATTATCACGATATTCGATAATATCGCGATAAATGCATGATACAATGCATGGCCGCATTAATATACAGTAAAAACATATTAACATAACAAAGCTACATTAGTAAATAATAAAACAGATCATCAATTAATATCCAACTAAAAAAAGTAAAAACCATGTTTTATTTCATTGGCTTTTCTTGGCTGTCCACTGCAATATTGTGGCAAAGCAGCAAAATGTTTATGTTATAGAAATTAAAAGAATTGTTTTCGGATTTGTGCCTGAACGATGTGCACGTGCCAAACACTATCACGATAGTCATTGACCATATTAACGATAATTACGATATCTGGTCGCTCATTTTTCCACCTTTGATACGATAATCATAAGTGAAAATATCACGATAATATCGATATATCGAAATATCGCCCCACCCTACTCAAATGCCGTCAAAAACTAAATAATGAAGATAAATGAATAAACTTACCATCAACATCGCAAAGTTGGTAAGATGGTTACAGTTACAAAGGATTCTGCCATCACTAAGAACCTTTTTAAACATGCAACCTTCTTGTGACCAATTCCCTAGGGTAAAGTTCCAGTATGAACACAAAGTACTGTTCGTGTCTCCTCGCGCGACACTCTGTACTAGAGCGATCTTAACTGGATTGCTCAAATTCCTAACTGATAATCCCTTAATGCTTCCAGCAATGACAAAACTATTCAAACGGCTTGACGTCTTCTTGGTGTCCTCCGAGGACACTTTGAAAAAACCTGTTTTCTTATACAATACAAAAATGATCCTGTGTTGTCTGGAGCTGTTCGTAATTGTTGATTCGTTAAATATAGTTCGTGGAATGCTGATCGAAGAAGATGGAGCTTGTGGAACGTGGTCATTAAATTCTGTAAAATTGCCATTCCTCAATGGTGATATACGAGAATTTCTAACAATCCCAGAAAATGTTAGCCCGCTAAATTGTTGTGGTTGTACAGCCTGTATATTAACAGCGTAGTTTCTTTTGATTTTTTCAAATTTTCCACTTGAACCGATGACTAATGTTTCTAGGAAGGTATTTAAAGCTTCGACAATCCTGTAAAGTGTTAAAATTATAAAAAAATTTTAACATTATAAAATATCACTAAATAATCATATAAGCAGCGGATAATGATTTGAAAATCAATGGAAAATGGTGACATTAATAAAGTTAATTAATGGTGACATTAATTAAGACAGTTATTACCTCCTGGCGGAGGTAATAACTGTCTTTTCGGAATTTGTTTTTTACTATATATATATATATATATATATATATATATATATATATATATATATATATATATATATATATATATATATATATATATATATATATATATATATATACATATCGGCCATATCGTACCTTGATGAAGAGTTCTTATCCTGTTGACTTTGGAAGACACTTTCTTCGTTGACATCCAGTACATTGTCTATTGTGGTGCAGAAATCGTCAGAAATCTATAAATATGCATACACACAAGCATATAAGCAATTGGTGGCATTATAGAGAAGAAAAACTATGCCACTATAACCAATTTTTACTGTATATTAGACAATTGCCAACGAACCTCGTTCCCACACTGATCACTGCAAAACCTGAGTAAAATAATACACCCACGCGTGAGTCAAAATTTTGAGTAAAATTACTCAATTTTTTTTAGTAAAGTTTAAAATTTACTCAATTGTTCTTACTAAAAAAGTGAGTAAATATGCTCTCTAGTCTCTAAATTTGAGTAATTTTACTCAATATTTTGAGTCACTGTGGGCGTCGAATTTTTTTGCAGTGCACTAAGTGAAGTGAAGCAGTAAAAACGACCCACGTTACCACGCAAATCTTAGATTTTCGCAAAATCCCTTCCAAATTATTTCATTTCTGTTCATTTTCATTTGGCACGGTTCTTTACGCCCACCATGCACAGGCTAGGAAAAAAATTCCGCGGCGGACTTGTGGCAAGCCTACTAAATCTGAGCAGCTATGACTATTTATTAAAGTAGACCATAGCTTATCGAAGGGAAGATGGCTGTGAAACTCATTAGAATAACAATATAACTCATTATCTATGTTAGTCAACGTTTATTCATAAATCTGGTCCTTCACCGTCACATGCGTATTGTATTTTTGCCCAACTAACCAATGGCAATGTTTTACGGGAAAGTTTTACCTATATCCGTGATTCGAACAATAGGATAAATTGGAAATTGATATTGTTATTCTAATGAGTTTCACATCTTCCCTTCGACAGGCTATAAGTATACCAAAGTGGTAACATGGAATTCGCCAATTCAGTAATCTAATCCTCTTGACCCATCTATGATGAATATTAGAAATCGGCCCTCGGAACGATATGACCGTATAAATTCTGGTCTTTCTTGATATAACCAACCTCGTTAGCTTTCTGTTTCACTGCGACAATCGTCTGTAATATTGTAGCGATATTGTTAATATCTGAAGCTTGGAGAGGGCGGCTTGTGTTGACAACAGACAACTTTTTCACCTCTTCAGTGATGTTAACCACATTGCTGATATTCACTTCTTTCTGCAGTAAACATTAAATTTTCAAGTTACTGACTTTATTCCATAGCCGTCACTGCAGGGGCCCTTTGTATAAAAAGGTAGTTAAAGTTAGCTAGGTTCGTGTGAAAGTTAAGCAATCAAAATCGCATATTGTAGAGTTAACTAACTTAACTACCATTTAACTAGAAAATAGTAAACAAGAACGTTTTGTGTACTCAGTATCCATCCATATCGACCACTTTTATTTATTATCAATTAATTAAATGGTAATTTTTACGCTGTAAAGACTGATTTAAAGAGTCGTTTAAAAAATTAATCGTTTCACGTTTATCATTTCTAAACGTCCACCAAAAATAATGCCAAGAGTTAGCAAACCACGATCACGAGTTCGTCAGCAGGATCAACGACCATCCAGTATTCAACCGTCCGTCGAAGTACCGAACAATTTGGGCGAGTTATCAATTTTAGAGTTGAAGAACCTTTGCCGCGAACTCAACTTTTCCTGCGCTGGCGGCCGACGGGTACTTACAACGCGTCTACAAAACGAAAGAGAACGTCTAAACACGAATACGCCACAATCCAACATTCAAACCGTTCCAGTAAACAACACGTTATCTAATTCCAACGCAAGGGAAAGCTTCAGCGCCGACCAACTGGCACAGATCACGCAGATTGTTTTGCAGTCGATTTCGTCTTTCTTCGAAAGCCAACACGCCACAACAACCGCGACTCGTGTAGATGAACAGCCAACTATCCCGCCACCGCCAACGCCACTCGAAAGGCTAGAACAGCTTGGTCAATTTCCATTTTTAAGTTCCAGCGAGCTCCAGCAGCAGCCGACTTCATCCCATGGACCTGTTGCCTCAATCCAGCAAGCAGATGGGGGATTCACGCCAGAGATTCCAAACAAATACGTTCGTGACATCGAAAGTGGTGAGTTTTTTGAGCTTGCTAAATTATTGCCAAAAAATTTAAATAAGTTAAATGTTGGTTCCGATTCTTCTGACAACGTGGGTTTCACAATTTCCTCTACGGGAATCTCATTAACACCGCGCAAGCCTCAAGTGCTGACTAACATTGAAGAGTGGACAACCGCTTTCAACACGTATATGTTAATCATAGTACAAAAATTTCCAAATCGTGCATCAGAACTTTTACAGTACATGGAAACCATCCGTCATGCGGCAAAAACGCATGGCGGTTTAGGCTGGTGCATATATGACCATAAATTTCGCTATAAAGCCGCCGCGTGTCGAACATTGTCGTGGGCCAACATTGACATGCAGTTATGGTTGCGTATTTTCACCGCTAGCTCTACTCAGTTGCGGGAAGATTATTCCCTTTTTTCTAACGGACCCTCAAACAAAGCTGGGGCAGCGAGGGACGGAATTTGCCACAGCTACAACAGGGGTAGACCTTGCCCATTACGACCCAATTGCCCTTACACTCACCGATGTAACCGAATTGGCTGTGGGGGGAACCATCCTGGGTACCAATGTCCACAATCCCGTGGGGAAAACGATCACAACGACGACCACCCTTCACAATCCGCCCGTAGCTCCGCGAAGACCAACAGAAAATAGAACTGTTAGTTTAAAGTGTAGTATATATAATAGCAGTAATTCAATACCTTTAGATAATACTATAGTTACGCCAATTCGCGTTGACGCGCTTGAAGGTGCTCTTTGTGGGCATCCCAATTCATCATTCGTTTTGAAACTCTGTTCAGACTTGCGTTTCGGTGCTCGTCTCGGTTACGATGGTCCTCGCATGTCAAAATTTTCGAAAAACCTCAAGTCTGCCATTGACAATCCAACTATTGTTTCAACTAACTTAGCTACGGAAGTTGCTCTTGGCCACACAGCTGGTCCTTTCACCAATCCGCCATTTGCTAATTTACAGGTTTCGCCAATTGGCATTGTACCTAAAAAGCATTCAGATAAATTTCGAACCATTTTTCACCTCTCGTTTCCAAAAACGGGAGAATCAATCAATTCCTTTATCGAGAAAGACGACTTTTCATTGCAGTACATAAAAATCGACGACGCAATTGCGGCTTTAATCCGATTAGGCAGAGGCACTTATCTAGCTATAACTGACATAGAATCTGCTTTTCGTCAATTCCCTGTTCATCCTGACGACTGGGAGTTATTAGGCATATATTGGAACAAGTCCTATTATTTTGACAAAGTGTTGCCATTTGGTCTGCGTAGTGCGCCGTATATTTTCAATCAACTTTCGGATGCACTTGAATGGATTTTACTCAACAAGTGTTTTATAAGCTATGTTGGGCACATTCTAGACGATTTTCTCATCATGGAACCACCGGCCCAAACTTGGCTACCTTCTCAAGCATGCCAAACTAGCCTTTCTAGCATGTTGTTAACATTCCGCACGTTAGGTGTTCCTATTGCCGAGCATAAAACTGAAGGACCCAGTCTCATTATAGAATTTCTAGGCATTATCATTGACTCACAAAAGATGGAGGCTCGTCTTCCATCCGATAAATTGAACCGTCTATTTGTTGATTTAAATTCGTGGCACACAAAAAATACAGCTACACTCCAAGAGCTCCAATCACTAATTGGCACATTAAATTTTGCATGCAAAGTAATTGCCCCGGGTCGAGCTTTTCTGCAACGTATCATAAATCTAACACGGGGTGTCTCCAAACCACATCATCACATTCGCTTAACGAATGGTTTTCGCGAAGACGTAAAAATGTGGCAACTTTTTCTTAAAGACTGGAATGGGACAAGCCTATTTCTCAACTCTTTCTGGGAAAATTCTACAAACCTTTCTCTCTATACGGATGCCTCGGGGACCCTTGGTTTTGGGGGAATTTTTCGCAACCAGTGGTTTCAGGGTAAATGGTTGCCTCACCAAACACTTACCACAAAAAATATCAGCATTGATTGGCAAGAGCTCTATGCTATTGTGGTAGCCTCCTACATATGGGCACCTTTATGGGCTCAAAAACGAATTGTGTTTTACTGCGATAACCAGGCAGCGGTTTCCATAATCAATTCCAAACGTTCAAAAAGCCCTCGTATTATGGACTTAGTGCGTCCTTTAACCTTACAAACACTGAAATATAACTTTTATTTCAAAGCCTTACATGTGCCTGGTCATTATAATGACATTGCTGATTCTATCTCCCGTTTTCAGCAAACCAGATTTCGGCGGCTAGCACCGCATGCAGACCATCAACCTCAACCTCTACCAGAGGAACTTTCTCGTCTCTAGACGCTGACTTACGTCGTTATCAACTGAACTTGCTTCGTTAGCTAAAGGTACGATTAAAACTTATAGCAGTGGCGAAAAACAGTTCACGAATTTCTACTATCAATTCCATTTACATAAGTATGTGCCTCTTCTGCCAACAACGGAAAACGTTCTGATTTACTTTGCTGTTTTTCTCGCTAAGACGGTAAATCCAGACACCATCAAAGTCTATCTCGCAGCAGTACGCCATATGCATTTGGTTAACGGCTACGACCTTCAAATCACCAAATTTCAACGCCTACACTATATTTTGCGAGGTATAAAGCGAGTAAAAGGAATGTCTACAAGAACACGCCTACCAATTACATTAGACCATTTGAAATTGTTTCACCGCATATTACACTCACGGACATCGCCAACACATGATGAAACCATGATTTGGGCAGCGATTTCCATAGCATTTTTCGGGTTTTTGCGGATTGGTGAAATGACTTGCTCCGGTCCCTATAATTCTTCAACAAACCTTTGCCGATCAGATGTAAGTTTTCATAACAAAAAAACGTGGGGATAACGAGGTTTTTCTGCAACTACGAATTAAAGCGTCAAAAACCGATCCGTTTCGAGCCTCAGCCACAATAACCATTGGCAGCAATTCTGGTATGTATTGTCCAGTAAGGGCCCTTCAAACCTACCTTTCACGTGCGCCAACGGACTATGCGGGACCATTGTTTTGCTACTCAAACGGTGTTCCTTTATCACGTAGCCAATTTACTAAGGAACTACGAACACTTTTGGCCCAAGGTGGTCATCACCCTGCTCACTATGCAGGCCACAGCTTTAGAATCGGAGCGGCTACCACAGCTGCGTCCCAAGGTTTGCCTCATTGGCTTATTCAAACGCTAGGAAGATGGTCTTCCGATTGTTACCTCAGATATATTCGCACGCCAATCAATGTCCTTACAGACGTTTCAAAACGATTGATTGCAGAGTGAGATAAACACTCGATCGTTGTTTGTCGGTCTATGGGGATCACACACACTATCGTTGTGTGATTGTGGAGGCAATTGCTCTAGTATGAGGTCGCAATTTTACCATAGACCTCACGTTTTCTTTACGGAATTTGGCAACCTGGCATACAGCCAATTCCCATTTACAAAAAATCACTTTATTTCTGCATATGAGTATATGTGCTGAGCCAGATCAGTGTTCTAAGAAATATTTCCCTGATCATTTTTTCCCAGGGCCCAGCTCAGAGTATATGTCTTGCAGGGCAGGCTAGGATCCAGCTCTAAATGGAGTATATGTTCTAGCCGACTCAGGACCCAGCTCAAAATCTGTAAAAGTATATGTCTTGGGCAGATTAGGACCCAGCTGCAAATCAGTATATGTCCTAATCGACTTTCCCCAAGATCCAGCTTTTCAATACGAGTATATGCCCTGGGAACCGCTCAGCACCCAGCTCTTCGCAGATAAAAATACAGTATATAGAGCAGTTGTCCCACACTTCCATAACCCCACAAACCTTGTGTTCTTATGCGTGTCGTTATATTAAATATCTCAATATATATATATATTTATTAAACGGTGAGGACATTAATGACATCATAATTTGTTGCCATATATAATATATACTTGAACAAGGCATACTATCTGCCTGTAAAACTTTCGTCGGAATACACCAAATGGTTTAGGATTTACTGACCGCGGGAACTTATTGCCTCCTCCCCCAGTCCTAGAAGACCCAAAAAAGCCCAGCCTGAATAGGGATAAAATTGAAGTTGCTACTCGAAATAATGAAACCAATTTGTCCTTACAGCTACGATGTT